TTGTTAACATAATAAATCATAGAGATCATGTTACATAACATTCTAACTACAAATATATTAAATAACAATACAATTACAATTAAATACACACTATAATGTCTACATCTAAACTAAACTAAAGAGAATAAATAATATTAATTTTAATATTGTTATTGTAAGACACAGATTTATGAAGACGTTGATTTTGGTATTGAGCACTTTTCGTTAGGTAGACAATATTATGGTAATTCGAACACTAATGCAAAAGGAGATAGATTTATTACCAAACTGCAAACACATTACCTAGGATCACTGATAAAAACTCAATAATATTTTTTTTATACGTTGCCCAACAATAGGACTTTCCTGTGTCGTGAGTGCGTTTACAAACATACAAGTTCACATACACACGACACCCAGACCCGGAACAACAATTTGTGGATCACACAGAGTTGCTCCGTGCGGGAATCAAACTCGCTATCCGTTGCACGGCAGCCTGTTGCCCATCCACCCACCGTGCCGTCATGAGCTGAAGTTCAATCAACGAGACAATTAAAGCTCGAGTTCATATTGCTTGATAATCTTGAAACCTGTGTCTTAGTTAAAATGGAAATTAAATACTATAGACCATCACCATTTTATAACAAAATACATTTCAGATTAATTAATTAATACATTATAAACAAAACGGATAAATTCCATCATTATTAAATATGAAAAAGTATAACTATTAGCCCACAATATATTGCTTACACATAATTAGACTAAATTGCCACATTATTTTGATCCCAGATTAAATATTATAAACATGTACAACTAAGCTATAATTAAAACTAAATCCTTATTTCAATAAAAAAACACTTCACGTTTTATTGTCTTGTCTCCACTTTATTTGCACACTTATCACTTGGATCATAAGTCATATTTTCCATTGTTAGCTCACAGTTCACTCATGTATCACAAAGTTCTGTGTGAAGTTGTTGTGTTTGTATCACTTTGAAGGCGTTTTGTAATCATTATAAAAGAGGTTTTAATTAAAGTTATAGTTTATAAGATAAGCCGTACCTATTATAATGTGATAATTCGAATAAGTACTGCATTGTTTCCAAGGCATTTCTTTGTAACACTGTATGAGTAAAAATTCTCAGAAAAATGGTTTAGATCAACGATGACACTTTATCAGGAGTGAAGTTTGAAGACAGTAGTTTGTTCATGAAGATGAACATGGGATTATCACTTTAGTTAAGCTAAATTAGCCCTTACAGTTATTTGTTTCTATTACATAATTGGTTTATAATGTCGTAGTATTAAAATGTTCCCATTTGTTGTAACATTTAAATTTTAACTACTGAAATACAGGTTGTCTAACCTTTGGTATATCGGGCCGTAGATCTACGTGAGACACAATGCGTTTTCTATTGTCTCATACATCGACAGACAAGAGGTTAAGTTCAATACATTTTGCCAAACAAAATAATGACGAAATAATGTAATTTTATCAAAATACCTACTAAAATAATGACGAAACAATGTTCAATTCATCAAAATACCTTCAACTTTAGAGACATTCTGTTTTTGAAAAAAAAAAGAAAAAACATAGCTATCTCCTGAATTTAAATTTAAATATGACACATTATTTTATCGCTCACTACGTTTATAGACAACGCGTTCACGTTTATTTTAATTTCGTTCACTGTTTATTTAATTCGGAATTTATATTTTAACTAGCTTCCGCGCTGTATAATTGCCGATTTGAAATCTTTATTTAGATTATCTAGCTGGTTTGGATATAGTCTCCAAATACTAATATAATCTTTGCCTTTATTATTATGTTACAATGCCTCTTTTAGCCCCAAATAGTTTTGGTACACACCTATTTTGAAACTTAACACTCAATATTCACCAGCTATACATCTCATATTTCCACATAATGAAGGGTGGGGGGTGATCCATTTGCACCAATAACCGTCCTCCTCTATTCATCATCTTACTCTCCATTTAAGGAAAATCGCCATACCTTGTATGGGCATCATCTTCTTTCTCTCTCACACCTCATCAATTCTTCGTATTAGTGAAAGAGATAAGAGTATATCCATGTGTTTTCTCCTGGACTTACGCCGGAGCGCCTTGATATGGTTCCTCCGAGGGCTGTTCCCGGTCTTCATGGGTCAGGTCCTCTGTTGAAGTAGCTCCAGGTAGTAGAATGTACCGAGCTTCCCTGTTGATAGAAAAGTGGCTTTGTGAGTTCAGGATTTATAGTTATTCTATTTGATAGTAAGACAGATAATTGTATTAGAGTTTCAGTATAACTTGAGGGGGAATTCGAAAGATATAAAACTGACATTTTTTGTGTATGTGTGTGTCTGTGTGTGTGTGTGTCGACTGTCAAATTATAGAAATTGTGTTTGTCACTGTCTTTGTAAGAATACGCTATTGTGGCGTAGTCTATTAAATCAATATATGAATGATGTGGTGTCATCCTTTTAATCAGAATAATTGGAATCGTATACGCTAAGATATTTCTACCTACTGCATTAATGACGTGTAAATGTGCTGCCTTGTAGCCTATTTGCAGAAATAGAGGTAAATTAACTTGTTTCACTTGTAGGTATATATTTATTTGTTTCGAAATTTGATAAACACATAGCTATTTACTTAATGAATTTGTTTGTTTGTATCTACAATCACACGAGAAAGTCTATTGACATTGACCTTAGACAACATTTCTAATACTTAATATTTTAAAACTAAACATTTCATATTTCTATGACCGTAATAGGTCAGTGATTGATTGTTTATCAATAAGGCTGAAGCTAGATGTATTGCATAATCCACGCCAAAGTAGGTCCCTCTACCGAAATAGCCGTCGGCAACAAAAAAGCAATGACTTAATGAATGCTGTTACGCGTACAGACTCTAACTGAACCAGAAGATTTCATATAGCAACGGCCTAGATGACACGACGCTCAGGAAAGAAGTCAACCTATGTTCACGTTGGCAACCATTGACTTAGGTTCAAGAAGTCAACAGCTCTAGCTGTTGAAACCCGAGCATGCTCTGGAGTTTGCCTGGCAACCGGTGCCTCGAACAAGTAGTCGAACCTATATAGATTGGTCTGGATTGGTAGCTAGACATTTTGACAGTGCTCACTTGAACTCACAAACATCAGAAGAAGCGAATAGAGCTTCTGGTTGCAGATGAGCAATTAATATTTACTTTTCTTCTAATAATCATGTATATTTCTCTCAATTTAAGAGTACCTATTATTATTTTTGTAACAATAGTATCAGTACACGCATATTCTAAATGCCAAGGACATAAATAGACCTTCAGATTGCAGTTAACAGCACTTTTCTTCTCCTATCATCATTTCTATTTGAAAGTATCATTTTATTTATATATTATTATCTAAGTTAGGACATGTCAGTCATGCCAATATCGTTCGTTAACCCTTCTAATGTACTGATAGTCATGACGTTGCCTTCAAATATTTATTCATTTAAATTATATAAGCATACGTTAAATAGATAATCATGTAGTTATGATACTGTTTGTATTGATTCTCTACTCTAAATAAGCAAACCAAAGTCATTTGGTTAGTTCATTAAACTCCTTGTTGATATTTTCCTTTATTACTTTGATTCCTGTTTTATACCATTTTTTTAAGGGGGGGAAATCATTGAATGACTGCACTCGCCTGGGTGAGGCGGGAGGGAGTGTCAGACTCTTACTGACTAAAAACCACCCCATTCCTACTCCTGCACTTCGAGCCGGAACCCTGGTAACCCGTTGGGTTCTCCGCGACTTGTTTTATACCATGGGATCATTTAATCGAGATACAAAGTATCACCCAAGTCAGCCCATACCCTGTCTAGTGTCTGTATACCAAATTTCATCAAAATCTATTCAGTAGTTTCAGCGTGATTGATGGACAAACATTCAAATAAAGAAAACTCAAACTTATAGAATATTAGCATGATAGGTTTTTGTTTTAGTAACTGCGTTAGCTGCAGTTATGTGTCTTATAAACATCTGCGCATTTTGTGCTTGCCTTTTTAACTTATCAGAACACTTTAAATAAAATAATTCGTGGGATTTGAACCCACAGGTATACCACTAAAATCCATTTATTTGATGAAATACTAATAAAAAAATCTACAATCTCTTTCTTTCTCGTCAATCCTTAGTTTCAAATTCATTTGTCAGTACTATATCATATTCAACAAGTGTCCTTTTTTTAAGGGGGTAAAATCATCGAATAACTTCTCCCGCCTTGGGTTGGCGAGAGGGAGTGTCAGACTCTTACTGACTAAAAACCACCCCGTTCCTACTCCTGCTCTTCGAGCCGGAGCCCCGGCAACCCGTTAGGCCTTCCGCGGTTCCAGTAATATTATAAATGCGATAGTGAAGCCGCTGGCAGTAGCTAGTTTATTATAGTTTGAATTAATAGAAAACCTCCATAGCTGGCGATGCGCTAATGTGTTATGAGTGTGATTTCTCATGTTCAGTAGTTATGCTATGTGTCCCATAAGATAAGAGGTGATTTCAAATCAGGGTATAAAAATAGAAACACAGCCAAACCAAGATTAATTTATTAAATACCATAAACAACCTTAACTTAATTAAACTCTAAACTAAACCTACTGCAATCGTACATAAACTATAGAACTGAGATTATAAACAGTTGTTTCATATTACATAGTGTTGTTGCATGTCGATAAAGGATAGGGATGGGATAAATCGATACTTATTTTAAGGATGGCAATCAAAAACAGCAGTGATATTTATCATTTCACATTTTAATATAAAATGTGTTGTCATCACAGATCCTTGAAACGATTAATGACTTTGTCATTTAACAAAATAAAATATCATTAATAAAAAAAATTGTAAATAAAATTTTTAGTTTTCAACCTTTTCGCATATCACTTACGAATATTAAAAGTTTTGGTCGAGCACTGTTTTTGTATTGTTTTAAATTAAAATCAAATAAAAGTGGAAATACGCAAGTTTTTCAAACATGCTTTTTAACAATTTGGCTATTTAACTTTTAATCTTCATAAGATTGAATAGGACTATTAATAAAATCACGAAAAAATAATAACACAATAATAGTCCCACGAATATCATAAATGCTCAAAATACAATAAAATCAGTCTGTTTATCATGTTTTAAACAGTAATAATAATAATATTTTGTTGGGCAAAGTACCTTAACTAATAATAATAATTTTTCAAACATTCAATGTCTTGGATTCGATTAAATAAATATACTATAACCTAAATTTGCATTGCTTAATGGTATCCCAAGTTCAAAATACAGATTATGGCAGTTACAGATTAAAAAAGGACATCAGAAAAATGGCATCATTTGAAACAAACTTTGAAATTTTCTTAAAAATATTGGAAACAACGGAACTGTTATTTTAAATAACCGGATGAATACTGATCGCAATATTTCATGGAATCAAACTAAATAATCTGTCAAAATAAAATCGATAGACGTTAAAGCATTGCATGACTTAACATAATTACTTTATAACTTAAATTACTAAAACAGAAAATATTCAAATAAAGCTAGAATCAGACATCAGCAACGATCTGAATGTTGTAGTTCAAAATTAAATCTTACTGGAGTTACAATTATGTCTAAATTAGTGTGTGGAACAGGTCCTTGATAGATGTGGTCTTCATCACGCTTTGACGTCCAGATCATACTTTTTCTCATCGGCATGCCTAAAATATAGGAAGAAAAGGTAAAAAGCTGGCCGGGGTCTTAAATATACAGCTAAGATGGCGAAACTTTTAAGTTTATATTGTTTAAAATCAACAAAAATAAGTTAATATCAAATTGAATGTCAAAGTATTAATTTCGACTTTACTCAAATTACGTTTTTATTTACTTATTGATTCTATTGATCTAATTTGTCATATAATCAAATTATAATTTACTTTTTAGCAATAATAATAAAAAAAAATTATTAAATAAATTCTATCGACAATAGTTCGCCACCTCACTAGTCTACTCTACACCAAGCCATTGTACCAAGGTACCAAGAAAGTAAAGATATACAGCGTGTGTTAAATTCGCCTTATACATACCAATCGTGGACCAAAACAAAATACTCCCTCCCCTCGCTACTGCTCGACAACTCCGACCCTTCGTCACTACTGTTAACCCTCACAAACTCTTTGCCCTCTCTGAAATTATATACCACAAAAAACGTTCCTTCATCATTGCGTATAAATCCGCCATTTTGTATCCCATTATGTCGTGCCGAAAGCGTAAAGCGAAATGGTTCCCGATGATGTTGATGATAATGTTTTTGTAATCGTTTTGTTGTATGAGTTGTTTGATTACAAAAAATATTTTAGTTTTAATTTTAAGTTGATGTTTATCGAATGAGTTGATTTTTCGTTACACTGATTTTGATTCGATGATCAGTTTAGTACGTCATCTTCTCTTTCTCTCTTTATACGACGTTTTTCTTGTAGTTCTTTTCTCACCGGCACACTATTTCTTCAAGTTGAGGAAAGCGCCATCTTCATTTTGTTCCTGGAAACTATCTTTGTTTCTCTTTCTTTCGTCTTTGATTGACAGTGTTTCTATCGCTTTCTGCTCCATACTATGTGATACATCTTCGTATAGTTGTAATGTTGGTTTGTCGCCCTCTTGGAGTTTATTTTAAATATAAACGGAAGATAGACGTATCAAGAAGTGAGTTAATGTTTTAGCATTAGTGAAAACAAGACGCTTAGTAAATAATGTTAGTTCGAACCACCACCGCGTAAGATGTTAGCGGAATAAGAAAGTCATAGAGTTCCATTCCACGTTACATCTTGTTAGTAAGCACCGTAGAACAATAATTGAAAGGAGTTGTCGTGTGTAAAATTTTTGTGATTTGTTTTTTTTTTAATATGAATGATTACTTATAGTAAATGATTACACCAATTTAGATGAGATTCCCAGTTTGGGACATGGAGTTTGAACGATATTATTTTTTTTTTAGTAGTTTTGTCAACAGTCACAACACTGAACATTTTATTAATATTTCGTTCAAAATCTAAGTCCACTCATAAAAATATAAAATAATAAAAGAAGAAAAAGTAAAAAAGGATCGATAGAAAAACTCAAAAGAAAACACTTCATACTCAAACCATAATTAAAAGTTTAAAAAAATTAAATAAGAAGCTCACACTCAAACTCAAAAAAAAATTAAATAAATGAAACACGACAACTCCTATAGTAAAAAAAACAAAAAAATAAAATAAATGTACGTACCTATAGAATACGTAGTGTTGTAGAAGGAAGAATATATCGAAGACGAGACTGAACAAGCCGAGGCCGAATTTGGTCGCGTCGCCGAAGAAAGAGATCCAGTCGTTGTAGTTGTAGGCGTTCAGCGCCATCTGTAGGATAGACAGGGAACCTCCAACGAAGTCTAGGAAAATGTTGCCAATGCTCCAGCCGACTGTTGATTTGCGTTTGTAGTTCATGTAAGCCTGAAAAGAAGAAATATAAAACTAAATAAATATGAATGCTTATATAGCTACATACACAATCTTCTGTTATCCGATTGTAACTTGTAACACCGTATTACTATTCAAGTCTCTTTGAGTACCGTCATTATAGACACAATTAAAGAACAATAGGTTGCGGTCACCGGTGTCCTCGCGGTGTTTGACAGTTTAATTACCTACTTCAAATACTCGACATTAGAAATTTTAATCAATAAAATAAAAATGAATTTTCGTTCATTACTCATACTAAAACTCGAGAACGGCTGAACCGATTTTGCTAATTTTGGCATTGAAATGGAAGTCCAGGGAAGGTTTAAAAGGTGAGAAAAAGCTTTAGTTTGCCGGGTCAGCTAGTATTATAATAGTAATATGACAAGACTTACACGTCAACTTTTTCAAACAGTTTAGTCTGGTTTAAGTGGCCACATAAAGTAAAAAAAACAATTGGACTTTATAAATGTACTGTAACTGCACCCCTACCAACGATTCATGCCAAAAACTAACTAAAAATCTATTTTCCCCTTTTTTTAAGGGGGAAAATCATTCATTTCATTCGGTTGGTGCGGTGGCTGGGCAACCGGCTGCCGTGCAACGTGTCGCGGGTTCGATTCCCGCACGGAACAACACTTTGTGTGATCCACAAATTGTTGTTTCGGGTCTGGGTGTCTTCTCCCGCCTTGGAATAGGCGAGAGGAGTATCAGACTCTTACTAACTACAAACCACCACGTTAGGACGGGGTGGTTTCTAGTTCTTAAATTCTGCTCTTGGAGCCGGGCTCCAGCAACCCATTAGGCCTTCCGTGGCTCTGTTAGTTTCCGCGGCGGGAATAAAGATTTAAGTGATTATGATAACATTTATTTGTTCCAAAACAATGAAAATTATCGCATTTACTGACCTGAGGTACATATTTAATCAGCGTGATGGAGAGCTTGATGTAACTGCAGTAGTAAAGGAAGTCGAGCCAGGCGAGTTTCCCGGCGGCGCCGACTCCAGCCGAGACTATCACCACTGCCGTAAACACGCCGAGAATGCTGCGACCTGTCGTTGATACTCGCTGGTCTTCGCGCTGGAACGAGGTAATGATTGGTTAATATCTTTCTTTCATAGTCATAACATCACACTTTTTGTATGAACATTACGGCACTTAATACTACTGTACAATGTAACACTCACTTTTCACTATTTATGTTATGAGTCCCATGTAATCCCCTATTAGCCTATTGCCATATACCGGGCACATTTTAACTCACCTCGTAGATGAAGCACTGAGCAATGGTGATGAGAGTAGCGAACGCAGCGTGCAGTGAGAAGAACACATCGTTTAGCTGTACCGGGTTCAGACCACGAGGGTGACGGGCGAAGTATTCACTCTGAAATAGAAATATAATAACAGTTAGTGCATTTTTACACAGAACATAACATCACGCTTTTTCATCCCCAAAGAGGTAGGCAGAGATGCACATTACGGCACTTGATGCCACTGTACAATATAACACCCACTTTTCATTACTTATGTTATGAGTCCCATGTAATAGGGAGTAAGCCTACTGCCATATACCGCGCACAATTCCAGACTTCGTGTTACTACTGAGGCTTTTTTTTAAAACCAGGTAATATTATGCCCGACCCGGGAATCACTCGGCCAGCGAGGCAGTGCATTTGTGCATTTTTCTTCATATAAAATAGCAGAACGCGAAAAACATTATGTATTCGACCTAGTAACAAACTCCTAATATAGTAACTTGGAATAAAGACAGAACGAAGTAAATCAGGGAACCTAAGTAACAAGAAGCTTTAGATATTTAAATTGACCGATAATATAACTACAAAATCATCTTTGTATGTGACCTTGTATGTTTGTAAACGCACCCACGACACAGGAGAAAATCCTAGTGTGGGGCAACGTTTACAAAAAAAAAAAATCTTTGCAAATTCTCCTCTCCTTACGATTAAAAATATTAAAAAGAAAATAAATAACACATACCTGAATATCCTTAGAGAAGTAAAGGCCGCAGTTAAACAACGAATACATAGTGAAACCCATGATGTTCAGCGCTAAGAAGTCAAAATTAAGTCCAACGACACTCTTCCTTTTAAAGTTGATGTAGATTTGAGGGTAGAAGGAGACCGACCAGGCTGCGAAGTAGATCCAGCCCATGATGTAGGAGATTACGTTGATTGCGTGGGAGTGCATCACTGTGATACGGAGGAACACTGAGTCCATGCTGGAAGAGGTTAAAGGTAATGGTTTGAGGTACAATCGACGAATGTTACGGTTAACACAGTTGTATAGATGGGCGGGGCTTCTATTTGTCATCATGCTTTGATTTTTTTTACTGTCTTTTTATTGCACAAACTTTACTAAAACTTTGTGTTGATTCTAATACTACGTATTTAATTATAATTATTGATAGGGTATTGATAAGGCTAATGTACGGTTTGGATATAACGTGATGTGTGTAATCTCTATGGATTGTTTTGAGTATTTATAATTAAATCATTCTTATTACAAACACGTGTCACGATCACAATTTAGATTAGAAAACGTAAAAAAAAAACAAAAGGACAAAATACAAAAGAATTTTTTAACTATTTCCAATACTTACTTGACATATCCAGCTGGTGTCACGTTGAATGTGACCTCAGAATGTCCTGGACTCTTTGCGTATGCGCAGATATCGTATGTGATCTTCACTGTTGTGTTCGGTTCTTTAGACCCTGGAATGTCTATAGTTTGGGGGACAAACTGCACGATGTCTGGATGTTGGATGTTCGCCGTCACTTGTAGACTTTCATTGTATTGTCCACTGAAAATATTTAGATATTTTGTTAGTAAATCATCAAAAATAGATAACAATAGTACTTTAAGTAGTCTTTTGTTTTATATTATGTATGATATCAGTAACGATATCTTTATAGTGACTGTCTGTTAAATATCTATACAAATGTGTGTCATACAGGCAGGCGGATACAGATCCATCATACAATTTTGAGGGATGAGACAATAACATAAACAATAATATTATGTGTATGTATGTAGCATTATGTGTACTTACATTTGTATCAGTTTCATGAGATGCGTGTCATCCACGAGGATGTTGAGATCCGTTTCACTTATATACAATTTTTCTAACTGGGAATGTGCACTTGGGATACCTGGAATACCAAAATCACTATTAATAGTATGGATAAAGACAATATTTACGAAATAAGTACCAAAGTTTAAAATTAATTCAACTGGATTGAACAAATCTGCGAGTCAGTCAAACAATAGTTATGTCAACTCACCTAATAATATAACAAAAACAAAACACAGGCTTAATCTATGACTAGAAGATGCGCACGCGACTCCGCGCGGCTTCAATACTGTTGCAAAACCAGCCATCTTTATTCTGTCTGTTTGTTTATCTGTGGACAAAAGAAAGACATTGTCAGTAAACAATTCGTAACTATTAGGTCATGGTTGTAATATTATCAAAATATATAGATTCAGGTTTTTTAGAACAATGTAAATTATTTCCGTGGTTTAATTTAAACAAACAATATTATATTACAAATAGCCGATGAAGAAAAACTAGTTATGTTAAATGTTAAAGATTATACTTTGTATTGTATAAAGTATTTCCTTACATATTCGAATAAAACAAATATTTATATAAGAAATACCCAACACAACGAAAACTCGTTATGTAAAACTGTTCGATGCAATAAATTTCCCAATCGAAACAATAAAAATTTATAAAGAAATTGTAAAAATAAAACAAAACATTTGTTTATAAGATTACATAACTTCTTTACCTTACAAAAACTTTTTTAGGCACAGATTAAAAATATTAATAAAATATGAAACGTCGACATTTGACATTTATGTCAAAAATGTAACGGTAACTTATTCAAATATTGTGTAATAACAAGTGCGTTATTCCAATCTTTATTATTAATATGTTTTATCCCCGATTTTATTATACTACATGGAATGTAATCAACACGTCTTACTAAACATGACTTATTATACGAACTAGTCTCCCGAGACAAATGCACGAGTACCTTGAAGGCTAACTGGTAACTGTTGAGTACAGGCAGCAAAAGGTTTAGGTAGGTATAAACATTCAAACGCAATAAACTTAATAGAAATAATATTGTAAGCTTCATGTTATATTTTTCACCAAGGTAATTCTTCCCTATTGAGATATAGGTAAATACTAAAATAACTTTGCTTATCTATTGACCTTAAACCACAGATCCAATATTGATGTGGTGCAGACAAAGTGGCGAGTAAAAGCTAGCACTCATATAAAGTATACGGAAGAACGACTGCAAAAACATATTGAGAAGTATTTTAAACATGTTCAGTATGTTTACACGCATCCGCATCCTAACACCTGTCCCTACACATGGGTACCGAACATTTCGTTGATTGTACTTTTTGATTACCTACCTTCCTACTCGACTTGCTACTTACATAGTGTAATTGAATCACGAAATGTATTAATGAAGCAGGCAATACCGTGAGACGAGCTTCACAGATAATAAAGATAAAAGAAAAATAAATTACAACAAATAAACACAATACTATAGGTGTATACTATGTAATTGTAATGTCACAACAAGTTTATAGGCAAGTAATAGGGTAGATGCCTAATTTTTATTTTAATGTCCGTCTGGTAGATTATTTTAAATCATTAGACACGTATTTTTTATGTTCTTACAGAAACGAATACTTTCGACGATACATTGATTTGAAATGTCGTCACTTCTATGTACCTACATTTTATACATAGAAATGACGTTTTAGCCTCCACTCCTAAACTTTGATTCGAAATACCTTTCATCATCCCAATTATGGAAATTTATAATACAAAATCTTTAAGTTTCCAATCGAAATAAAAATAACCCGAAAAGTTATACCAAGAAGGAACAATCATACGTGTCATTTTTATTACACATAAGACGAACTTTACTAAATATTTGACTGGAATGCCTAAAAATCGCTGACTTAATGACAATTTACAACTAACACTTCTGTGTTACTAGAACAAGTGCTAGATCATTAACTAAACAAACATAGGATACCTGACAATTAATACAATATCTACTCGTCTAGTAAATTAATCAAATATTTGGTCATTTATTATTATTTGTTTGCCTTCTGTCGCCAAGCAACTGCTCATTAAAGAAATTAAAAATAAATATTGTTACGATAACGAATAAAAATGATATTGTTATATAGTTTTTAAACTAGTAAATGAATACAGACTGAATAGACTACGTAAGATGGTTATACTTTAGGAAACCTATAGGAGTTTTTAGTCAAGACCTCCCTTTGAGATAAATCTATTATCACGCTATACATAATAATGCAGTCGCGGAGAACCTAACGGGTTGCCGGGACTCCGGCTCGACGTGCAGGAGAAGGAACGGGGTGGTTTTTAGTCAGTAAGAGTCTGACACTCCCTCCCGCCTCACCCAGGCGGGATAAGAGTCTGATACTCCCTCCCGCCTCACCCAGGCGGGAGAAGTCATTTGATGATTTTCCCCTCTTAAAAAATACATAATAATGCAACTTATGAGGTAGTTAGATTAAAAAACTATCAATACAATATTTTACCTAGGCACATTTAAAATCATAAACAATCATCAATGAAATTCCTTTTAACAAACACAATGAAGCCTATACATTGCAACTTAACTATTAAACAAGCATAATATGAATGGCTAACGCTATAAGAACAGCTGTAAGTACATATAAGTGCATATAACACGTGGTACATAGAACATACTGGTACCAATTAGCAATAAAACAGTTATCGAACGACAACTAAACGCATTGATTGTATTCATTAAACTTGATTCAAAAATTACCTTTGTTAAGAAATGGATAAGGTTTAAAGTTTAATAAAGAAGTCGTAGCTTAAGAAAAATTCAAATTCAAATTTTCGAATTCTTTTTAATTGCATTATTCATGTGTACAATATACAGTATGTTACATAACTGGGTGGAGACAGTTTCCATATGAAACCCGGTTAGGTTAGGTTAGTATAGTACTCGACACTGGCAGTATAGTCGACAACATCGTATTGGAGACTTGGTTGCCAATAAAGAAAAAAAAATAGGTTAGTACCAACCTACCAATATGTAACTTTATTGAGAAAAGGATAAGGTTGAAAGTGTTTTAAAGCCATCAAAAAAGGACTAAACTACCAAAATTGAATCTTATAGCGAAGCAAGGCTTAAAATCTATTAAAGAGAGATTAATGGTGTTATATTGATGGTGATCGTGTCTGTACTATGTTCTACAAGGTCTAGGGCCTATAAGTAGAAGGAAACCTTGTTCTTAATTAAAAAATCATATATGATTACAATTACTTATGTAAAAACTTGATTTATTATCCCTAAGAGCAATCGAAATTAATGAATTACTCATACATGATAGATTAATCTATCATTATTATTTATAGATAGGTGCCAAGAGTAAATAGTTACCTACCTATTACGAAAGTAGAATAAAAAATATTTTACGATTAGACATAACACCTAACTGAATAAAAAATCCGAATAATTATGTAAACAGTGTAATAAATACCTAATACATATTGTTATCTGAACATAAAAGATACAAATTATGACATTAGAAATATTAGAGAGTTGTCATAATATTGTTTAAGCTAAACAATACACTAATCAACAATTAATATAATTTCAAAATAGAAAAAAGTTGAAGACATTATAAGTAATTGCTCAACCGAGCGGATGTTAGAAACAATTAGTCGTAAAATATATTAATCACTATTAAACAATATTAAAATATATAAAAAAGACTGGAAAGCTATTTATAACCCTACTGTCTGACAAGGACTTACAAAAAAAAAACAAGACAATCTACTAAGACCTGTGATAGACAGGAAGAAGAATGCAATTAATACAATCAAGAGTATACCCTATCTTCGATTACTTTAAAGTCCGATTTAAACATTGCAGTTTAAATTTAATCAATATCAAACACAGGTTACACATATGCTGGCTATTGGCCACTAAGGTTGATTTACAGCCCTTTTAATAAAAACAAAAAAGAAGTACTTACATGGCATTAAAAAATAAATAATCCACTACATACATACCACCGAAAGCGCAGAGGTTTTAGCAGAAGTACTATTGCAATAAAAATCAGCATAAATGTAATAAAAATAATCGTTTTACCGATAAAATGGTTAACAACTGCATTTACTTCGAAAAAGAAAATTGAAACTTAACCAATCGTTGTTTTATTGGTTTGTTTCATGTGTTAACGTGATTGCATTCCTACCTACGACATGGCAATGAGGATATATCTTGAGATAGCGTCTCATGAATAAAATTTGTGAACTTGAAATTTTGCAAATATTTTTACGGCAAAATAGCATAAAGGTAAATAGATTATCTTTGGAATTCACGATGAAACCGTACATTTCTATGAGGTATATCATAACTTATACTATTATATGAAGCAGAACAGTTTGTTTTCTTCCTTGTTTGTTTGTTTGAACGCGCTAATCTCCGTAACTACAAGTCTGAATAATAATAATACTTTGAATAATTATTTTTGCGTTGGACAGCGCATTTATCACGCTACGACCAATAGAAGCTAAGCAGAGCGTGTGAAACCGCGCGGAAGTAGCTAGTATATAAGGTATTTATAATAATAAAGCTTTAAAATCGATTATGAACTTTATACAAACAAGACCACAGTCAATTGATAGAATATTGTATTTATAAGTGCATAGGTTTTTTGTACACACTACGTCACCAGTGTCTATGTAGGTTAAGGACAAAAGTGCAGCCGCATAACAAACATACATTTTGTCACAAGTATTACTAATGCTAAGTAATAGGAGATATACCAACGGTTAAACATCGTATAAAGACAAAGCCTTACTCGAAGTTATTTTCAAAATCGCAATCACAACAAGTTTGACCCGGAAATAAGTCTCAACTTGCAAACTTTACGTACAAAAATAGATAGGTATACGTCTGCTAAATAGAAAGAATACTAATTTGTAACATGCTCATTATCAATAGAAAACTAGACTTTTTTTTTAAGGGGAGAAAATCATCGAATTTTGCTCCCGCCTGGGTGAAGAGGGAGGGAGTATCACACTCTTACTAACTAAAAACCACCCCGTTCCATCTCCTGCACGTCGAGCCGGAGCCCCGATAGCCCGTTAGATTCTCCGCGACTCCGAATCGGCATCGGCCTTGTTGGGCCCCATCCGTGGTGGTCTGATGGCTCTTTGAGGCGCGCACGGAACGCGACGCGCCGCGCCGTACGCTCGGGCCTGTTTCTGTGCCTTTAGCCAAACGCCACTTTAGCGCTTGTCTACAGAGAGAGTAGAAAACTAAATGTATGGGGATGACACTGACAAGTGTCAAAATTTACGTCAATCCCATATAATTTGGTTTTCTATTCTACATGTAGACAAGCGCTAAGTGGCATTTGGCTACAGCTGCTGGTCGGACGGGAAGCCACCCGTGCTCGTCGTCCGCAGGCCCGCGGTTACGGTAGCCAGAGATCGTAGAAAACTAGACTTAAATCTTATCTTTTTATGATGGGTGAAACTTTTAAGGCGGCTAGCTTTTAATAAGAAAGTCTAGCATGTGTGGGATTACTAGGATTGTACGTTCCTCATTAAAACCGTCTTGGTGGTCACCATTAACACCTAAAAAGGCTTAGACTACCTCTTCTAGCTCGTCGAGTACCGGTTTTATAGACACAATTAAAGAACAATAGGTCGCGGTCACCGGTGACCGCTTGGTGTTTGACAGTCTAGGTTACAACTTACTTAAACTGTCAAACACCAAGTGGTCACCGGTGACCGCGACCTATTGTTCTTTAATTGTGTCTATAAAACCGGTACTCGACGAGTTAATTTCTATTTACAAAATCTCGGCCATTAAAAGCCGACGACCTCTCCATACGTTTTCACTGTCAATGTTTAGTATGCGTTCAATAACAAAAATGTAACACAACCTTGCTCCTTTGTAGGCAAGTCTTTGCAGTGATAGAATGTCAAATATTTATTTTTAACGCTTAATAAAAAAAACAAAACCAAACATAATTTGTTTAAAGAGTGTCTTTGTTAAAATTAATTGAAGAAGGAAACGAATTGGAAAACATGTACAATGATTTTTTGAACTCATATCTCTCTGTGGGTATTTAAGCATCTGTTTTGGAATGACTATGAAATTATAAATGTACTTCTGTGACAAAAATCCGTTGAAATTATAGAATTCTTTATGTATAACTTTGTCTATAAATACATTACAAAGTCCATCACCTTGAAACCTTTCCACTATGTTATTTGAGATAAGGAAGTATACACCTTAGAATAGGCGCGGTATTTTGACAACCGTTCTTAATATGTATCAAGTCAAAACACGTCCAAGTACTGGTATTTAATGCTGGTGCCAGACCTGTGTAGCATATTATGTGGCACAAAGAACATAGCACCAAAGGTCCGTGGCACACAATGTGAACAAACACAATGTCTGGCGCCAGCATTACATTTTGCTACAGGGGTTTTCCTATAGTAAGCGGACCATGAAGGTTGTGTTGTGCTCTGTGCGGTATTATAAACGTATTATTATTGTAATGCACAATAGAATAACACATTAACTACTACACATACGCGACATTATGTATCACCATGGAGATTATTGTTTGTAGTTAGTAGGTATATTATCCATTAAACCGTACTGAAACAGCTCCAAGGCAAATTTTTTCAATACGTAACACGACCGACGACGTATGTCCCGAAAGGACCTTTAAAAGTGTCTGCAGCTAATGTTTTTCACCAATTCAAAGTCAATGTCAAAACATTCATTCCAATTAATCCACATAGATAAATTATACACAACAGCAATTCTATATGCCAATGTCTATCAAGAAACATGTCGAGGAATCATGTGTAACATACTTTAAATTCGAAGTCTTTGTGTGCTAAGGCCATTATAAGGACAACCGTCAAGACATACCTACCTTCTTCTATGTATAGGTATTCTTTATTAGTACAATTGACTTTTCTAAGTATTAGAAGAAACTTTATTGGTCTACTGAAATATTCTAGAACACATCACACGCCTATTTAGACTTGTCAAATGAAATTAGCTTTTCTCTCTTACATTTCTCCCCATAATGACTAGACAATATATAATTAACTTTTATTAAGAAAACATAATAAAAAACAAACAGATTTCAATATTGTACATATTATTATTATCTTTCTAACCTTTGTTACTAAGTAATTAATTATAAAACACTGACTTATGTACGTATTTCTTCTTATTTATACTTGTTTAATATACACCATGGCCCGATGTCCGCATTAATTTTTTGATAATTTTTTAATCTAACTATTCATATTCATTTATTTGTATCCTATAAAGTGAATAAGGTGTTACAATAGGCTTAAAACTGAGTACAATAGTACATTAATGGACTCCATAATGGCACAGCAACACTTGATAAAATGAAGTTAACATTTGTAAAATTGGTTGACTTTTTCATCATCTAAAACCTATTAATCAAAATGTAACATATTGAATTTAACCTAAACAATAACTAAACGAATTAGATCAAATACCTACTATATTTAAATTAAAATAAGGTTTAATTTATACCAAATTATCAAGGTTATAACTAATAGGTACAGTGAGTTATATAAAACAGAATTGCAATTATGTATCGATTAGGTACATTATTATTTTATCAGTACGGATATTGAATAGGTTTAATTTAGATTAGATTTACATCTTTATTATATCAAACCATTAAAAACCCGATTAGATTTGATTAAAAGATGTGATATTTATAAATGCAATAAGTAAGTAATTAATTTGGGCTCGGCAAAATATAAAGAAACTTTCGATCGCAAAAAAGCGCGCGATTGGAATTCGATTTTTTTTTATTTCTGAAGTAATTTAATACCGCTATGCTTCATGCCTATTGGAATATCAATATTAAAATAATATTATGACAAAATTACTTTCAACATACATAAGAAGAATTTATTTATATTTTAAAATTCCACAATTGTTAGAAACGTCTATGGAAAGAGATAATCTTCATTAAGATCAGTAAGGAGGTCAATGCACATGAGTTTTTACTCTGTGGCACGGTAATATGGCCGCCGCACTATGTAGAACATAGGTAGCTCCTATATCATAAAAGGAAAACAGCACGTCGACCTCAATGTCCACTGACGATCGGAATCTGATTTCCATCTTCATTTTGTCTCATCCTCATCTTAACAAACAACACAAAGTAATAAGAGTTATTAATCGAAGAGATAGCCAGCAATGAGACATTTCAGAAACATCAATTTTTACCAGTTATATTGAGGATCGTAAATCCAACATTTGGCAAGTGCCAATTGCCCGTTCTGTTGCTAAGAATTTATAAAGCATATGAACTATGTCTTGCTCCGCCTGAGAATCGACCCCATATCTCATCTTGTTGTCAAGCTTACTTGCAATCTAAACTTTAAGAGGTACATAATCGAAGGAAATGCACGCTTCGTTGGCAACAGTTGGCGATTCATTACACACAATTGACGCCAACCTTGGAGACAGGCTAAGCTATTTAACGAACTAATAAACCAGTTTGGATATTATTCGTTATACTTACACCAGGACCCATGTGCAAATACTTAGCAAAAAGTGTAGCTCAGAACCTGTTGTTCTAACTTGGTCATTGGTTGAAATTGAGTAGATTAGACACACATGTATCGTTTAAGGAAAAGAACAATGTTGGATAAAATATGCAACGAAACAAATATTTGTACCAAATATTACACTACGTACCAAAAATTACAATGTTACGCTTGAACTTCAATTTGATTAAGAAAAAAATGAAATTAGTTAAAACTTTTGCGTATCAAAAGGGCATAAACCTTCAATCAATAATTTTTCCGATAATTTTGAAACGAGCTCATAAACGAAATTCGATGATGAACAGTAGCAAAACATATGCAATTTTATCAATTTAATTTGACACTAATTACCGTTGTAAACATGAATAACAAGGCTGATAGAATCGCGACACAGCGCAGCCGTTCAACTCATGAATGCTAAAGAGAAGCTTGCTTATAAAAACAGTCTACCGTTACTTTGTAACCCATTTACGATACTAAAATATTTGTTTCGTTTACCACTTAACAAGTGCACAACAGTAACTGACCAACGCT